CACTCTTAAAATAAAAAGATAGAAAAAATATATGCAAAACAACATGAAAGAAAGAAAAAAATGGCTATGATAATATTGCCTGGTAATTCAAACTTATGGAAAAAAGATGTAATAAGTGAAGGCATAATACACCAGAAAAAAACAAACAAAAAAATTAAGACCATCAGAAACGTATATGCACCTAATGATATAGTTTCAATATTCATCAATCCTTAAGTAATAAGAGAAATATGTAGGCAGATACATCAAATATCTTGAAAATAGAATTGATAGATTTGAACTATTATATATAGAGAGACAAATCTCTAACAAAGTGCCTGTATTTTTTTGAGTGTACACATAACATTTATAGAAATGTTATAGAAATAAATTATGTAATAAAGTTCTATAAATTTGAAAATATTAATAGCATATATAATGTTGTACAACCCTATTTTAATAAAATTAAAAATTATTTTTAAAAATAGTCAGCTAATTTCTTGTTTGGAAAATATATAATAAATTTTATAATAACTATTGGATTGGTAAGAAATGATAAAAGACTTTAAGACATACTAAGTACTTAATAGTAATGAAAAAAATTCATGCCAAAATAATACTAAGCAGGAAATTTATATCTCAAACTTATTGTTCAAGAAAGATAAGAGATAAACATCATTAATTCAACAAACTGTTTAAAAAGCAAAAGATCAAACTCAGGGTAATAAGGAAAAGAGAGAATTATAAAGACTACAGTAGAAAACAAGAAAATATAAATCAAAGAAACAGACATAACCCCCAAAATTCTAAGTGAGTTCTTTGAAAAAATTATGACACAAAATCTTTTGGAAAGATTGAAAGAGAAAGACTCAAATTTTAAAATATTGAATAAAAGGAAAAGGGAAATAACCATATCCACAATTCAAACAGAAATATTATGGGCAACTGGCCTCTGACAAATTTTAAAATCTGTATTTATATCCTTTCTTAAATAAATATAAAGTTCCAAAATTTCTGAAAGAAGAAATATAGTACTCAAACAATATGTTTGGAATTTTGTTGTACAAAAAGATAGTCTTTCTCCCAAATTCCAGGGTGAGAATGTTTTAATGGTGACTTCTACCTAATTTTCAAATAGTAATTAATTTCTAACACATGCAAAAGTATTTTCTGGAAGATAGGAAAAGAGCTAAAGCTCTCATCTTATTTCATGAGCATATGAATTTATGATTCCAAAATCAATAAATAATAATATGCCTAAATAAACAAATAGATATATTTCACAAATGTAGAAGTAAAAGTCCTGAATAAACAAATCCAGGAGTATATTTACAAAATATACATCATGTTTGATGAATGAAAACATCTACAGCTGACAGAAATAATACTTATTTCTTAAGGACATGTATTCCATGTTTAAAATTGAATGAGTAATATGTTCTAACCAAGTCCAAAATGAGATGACAGAAACTTTAACAAATGTGGGAAAGACATATACATTTTTATATACATGCACACACATATATATAATGATAATTTTATTTTTTATGTTTATTTTGTTGGTGATTGAATCTAGGAAAAGACAAATTTCATATCAGTGGGATCACCTATTTCAAATGTTGGTAAAAACTCAGAATGCTTTGTGATTTTTCTCCCTATTTGAAGATTCAAGTTTAACTAAGGAATAAATTACTACATATTTTTAAACATTTTTATTGTTATAAACCATTCACTAATTATTTTTCCTGCTAGGAAGACTGGTGTAGTTGTAATTGAAGGTTGGATGGAAAAGGAAGATTAAGATAATTGTAATGGCTCTCTCTCAAATAGGGAGAAAATTTGAATTTGATTCTACAAATACGTTGTGCTATGTTAAATTTAAGACCAGGTATTCTTATGTGCTGCCTTTGATTAAATATTTAATTACTATGCTTTTTTCCCAATAAAAATGAAAATTGTATGTTTTGTGTATAAGATATTTCAAATACCTATAGCATTTGGTAAGTCCATAGTAAAATTCTATGAAATGTAAAAGTGATTTTACTTATTAAATTACAAAAATGTAAAAGAAGATACTTTTCTNATGAAATGTAAAAGTGATTTTACTTATTAAATTACAAAAATGTAAAAGAAGATACTTTTCTAAAAAATTTAATTGTAAATGTGGTAAATCTGTCTTAATCTAATTTTGTTTGAAAGTACTCTTTATTAAAATGCGGACATTTGTTTTTATCCCTAAGAAAATAATGGACTGGCAAATCTTTCAAACCTGTGTTCCTCATGGAAAACCTTAACAGACAGCAAGGAAGATGAGTTTTCAGGTGTAGCGAGGATAATTAAAGATATTAATTATCATTGGATGCAATTTACTACTCTAGTTAATTTTTGTGGCTTAAACTTGTCCTACGTGAGACATAATTATCATAAAGCAAGAGTTAGCTTCAAGCTCTGACTCTCATTAAGAATAATGACTTGCTGTGTTCTTCCATGCCTTATTCAAAGTAAATACATGGTATTTTCTGTCTTTGATAATTATCTTCTAACTACCTGCTAGGAATGCTTGTTTTTCCAAGGATGATAAACCTACAGAGATTCTAAACCAGTGGTCTCAAAATGGTAATACTTTTAAAATATTCTGAATATATATTAGGTCCTGAGTATTTAAATATCACATGCTTGAATTTTTCTGTCCTTGTTAGACATTTAAATAATTATAGTCTTGACACTGCAATATGTTTTTATTATACTCTTAATTAAAATTAATTGTTAATTATAGGCAAGATATGCTGAACAGTAACAATATGTGAGGATTTGGGGAAAATAATGGAATCAGTGAAACAGCAGGTTATTAATAGATGGGTGATATCTTTGTTTCATCAGCCAAATTGAACTATCCTCCTAATGGGACAGTGAGTGTGACTAATGTTTTTGGGTTGCTGTCAGTGTCTTCACAGTTCAATTTACCTTGAAGATTAATATGGATAAAACAATATGCATAACAGTTCTCAGGCTTCTCCTTCTGTTTTATATGTACTTTAACCATTAAAATTATTTGGTTCTATCCCTCTGCCAACTGACTTTCTCTGTTTACGAGTTAACTGTACAGCACTTGACTTACCATAGCCTTATAACATTCTTTATCTGCCTCAGCTGCTAACTAAACAGGTCTTTCTGAGGATCCTAGGTCAGAT